CGCATATTTTTACTCAAGCAGAAAGAGATTACTTTGGGGACGGCCCAGTACGAGTGCTATGGCTATCTTTTCTGTGTTGCCAAACCGCTAATTACTCATCCATATACCTAACTAATAATTTAGCAAATAAAAGTGCGACTTTCTAACGGTGTCATGAAGTTATTTGCCAAAATTGTGGACAAACACGATTCCACGGCTAAAATTGAAATATGTATAACTCATCACTGAATTATTTGACAAAATTAATCTTGCTTACTTTAATGTGTACTTCTCAAAATATCCGGGGTTTGAAGAACAAAAGCTCAGCAAGGATTTATCGGGCTCGCATAACGGTTAACCGAGGACTTATTCGCCTGAATCCACAATCACAGCTTTAAGGCAGCCCCCCCTCCTCGACTTTCGGTGGGACCAACTTGCAAATCGTTTTCATCCATCTCTTCTCACGAAATAAAGGTACTTTAATACCTATCAAATAAGGGATTCTTCGAAAACCAGTTTTCTACATATTCATTAAATTGATATTTACCTGAATGTCGTGACTGATCCCCGAAGTTGGCACACTTAAGAGGATCTCAATTCTGGGCACAGCTACCTATTCATCTTATTTTACTTATGGACTGTTGAGAATACTAGCTAAATTAAAATTCATACTACATCACGCTGGTATACTAGACAAGATCGCGAACCCCGGAGAAATCTTTCCCTTTTACGTTTAACAAGCGACATCTCATGTCTGACCGGGTTAAAAGGGAATTGTGCACCTCTGGTGCCCCAGACTAACTTAATACCACACCATAACTAAGCTAATTGAAAGATAGTAAAGTAATTGGTTTCCTTCTAGAGTTGCTCACTTTTTCACAAATCTCTACTTTCGGATGGCAATATTAACTCCAGCCTAAGTGGACGCTTTTCCCCTACAAGTAAGCATTATTTTCCATATTGCCTTTTAATACTCACAAAGGATAAAAATAATGAGGTTACAGGGCACGGTTAAGATAATGAATTGAATCAAACTTTCTACTGAGATTAAATTTGGAAGCTCACTTGTCAGACCTTGAAACAGGAAGCAGCTATTGCCTGATAGCATTTTTCATCATAGTGAATTCATTAAATAATTAAATAGGGTTGGTTTTTATCAAAAACGACACATTCACTTTTAGTATGTAGCTTGTTTGAGTCGTGCAGGAATACAGCATACCAGAGAGAGAATAAGCCTTAACTCTTGCACGGTTTGAAGCTATCTCAAATCTAAAACGAAACACTTGTCCATACAGCAATTTCCATTAAATCAGTGTTGCTAATAAGTATAAGTATAATAGATTTCAACTTAGACCTCAATGTGCCATCCGCCCAGTCTTAAACAGATTTTTTTATGAAAAACCTTATGGCAATTCTAGCATAACACCCGCCATTTATGAGGCTGAACTTCATTAAGCATAAATTTACTACATCTTGAATATATGAAGACCAAGATGTTGTGGCCTCTGTTATAGTCGCAGTCTCCTTTCGATTTATACAAGTGGGTTGACTTCGTTGTCCGTTTCCAGCAGAACGGTTGTCGAGGGATTGACTTCACTTGTCTCTTTGATGAGTTCGTATCTTGGTGCA